GTTCCTCTGTAACAGTCCTCACGACAGGCTGATGAGTGGGGCCATCAGCATCTCAGTTGTGCACACGTGCAGACTGAGGCTCAGTAAGCTGGAGGTCAGGCCCACGTTTGGATTTCTGGAAGTGTGAGTTTGGAGACAGGAGGGGAGAGCGAGAGGGCCTGCCCCGAGATCTGGAGGGAGACACTTCCCAGGGCAGGGGGGAGTTCTGTCCCTCCCCCGTCGGGTCACTGTGAGCCCCCACCCCCAGGTCAGTGTGGGCCCTCCCCTCCTCAGGCAAGTGTGTGCCTGCCGTGTGCCCAGGGCTACTCAGGGGGCTCTGCTTGAATTCGTGTGCTCTGCAAGCCCCTGGCGCCCCAGCGTACCTCGTGCCACGAGGTCCCTAGGTGGGATTGCCTGGCGCATAGACGAGGAAGCAGAGAAGTAGAGCATCTGCCCAGAGTCACAAGTCTGGAAGGGCAGAGCCTGGGTCCAGCCCAGGGTACTTGCTCAGTGCTCGTGTCATCACCGCAGTGTCTCTCAAACTGGGATCCGTGAAGGGCCATCAGGGGCTGCCCCTGAGAGTACAACAGAGAGGCCGAAGGCGCTGGGCCCGCAGGCCTCCTGGTCCAGCTCCAGCCCACACAGCCTGGAGCGAGTGGACATTGGGGCTGGGTCGTCCTCTGCTGTGGGGCCGTCCTGTGCACTGGCGGGTGTTCATCCGCACCCTGGCCTCCACCCACTAGATGCCAGTTGCAACAGCCCCCTCCCCAGGCGTGACAACCAAAAATGTCTCCAGACATTGCCAAGCGTCCCCTGAGGGGCGCCACTGCCCCTGGGTGAGAACCCCTGACCTACAGGTCGTGAGCTCTGACTCCAGAGCCGGACTGCTGGGGCTCTTAGCTTACCAGCTGAATGACTCTGGGTGAGTTCCTTAACCTTCCTGTGCCTCAGTTTCTTCATCTGTACAATGGGACAACAACAGCTCCCGTCTCACGTGGGCCTTGTGAGGATTACCTGAGTTGCTGTGTGTTTACAGGAGTGTCTGCCATGGTTTCAGTATCTCACTCATGTCAGGGTCTGGCTGACACTTCCCTGCTGAGTGTTTAGAAGGGGAATTTGAAGAGCATCGCTCCACGTCATTGTCCTCAGATGGGAGGTCCCGCCCAGCCTTTCCTGCTTTCATATCAGAAGCATGCCCTTCCCTTTCCCCCTCTCCCATGAAGCCCTCAGGGACTGTGCTTTCCCTGTCTCAGGGCTTTCTCCCACTCATGAGAATAGAGTGGGACCGAGTGCTGTCAGCACGGTGCAGGGGACCCGCCCCGCTCCCGGGTCAGGGGCCGGCCCTGGTCAGGGGCACGACCAGGCCCACGCGGCCTCTGGGAAGTGGGGGGCCCCGAGAGCTTGAGAAGCTGTACATGTGCCCCGAATGCGGCAAAGGCTTTAGTAAAACATGCCCCCGACCAAGCACCCTACAAGTGCCAGGTCTGTGGGGAGGGCTTCCGAGACCACTCCCACTTGAGCAGGCACGGAGGGTGCACCCGGGTGAGAAGCCCTCCCTGTGCGCCGCGTGCGTGCGGGAAGCGCCTCAGCCAGCCCTCCAGCCCGGTCGTCCGCCGCAGGACACCCTGAGGGGCGGCCCCACGTGTGCACAACAGCTCGCACTCCAGCGCCCACTACAGGATGCATACGGGGGAGAAGCCCTACACATGCCCTGCCTGTGGGCGAGGCTTCTGCCTGGCACCGACCTCCACAGACACCAGCGGACCCACAGCTGGGAGAAGCCCCAGCGGGTGGCACCCTAGCACAGCCACACAGGCCCCCGAGGCTCCAGGAAGCCCCCTGGCCAAAGCCTGACCACCACGCACCATAGTTAGTCACAGCTGATGAAGCTGCCAGAGTCGTTTGTGCCCCAGAACCAGCAACCCTGATCTTCAGGCATCTTCACACTGACTCTTTGCTCCCATGGGCCCAGCACGAGGATGGCAGTGGGCATTTCAGGTGCCCAGGCTGAGGGAGGCGGCTGGAGTGCTGGGCACAGAGCAGGTGTATTAGGGCCCTGGGGCTGCTGTATAAACGACAACAACCTGGGTGGCTTACAACAACGGGAATTTATTCTCACAGGTCAGGAGGCCACAAGTTCAAAATCAAGGTGTCGGCAGGGCTGGTTCCTTCTGGGGGCTCTGAGGGAGTCTGTCCACACCTGTCTCCGGGCTTCTGGTGGTGCCAGCAGGCCTTGGCGTTCCTTGGCTTGTGGCAGCATCACTCCTGTCTCTGCCTCTGTGGTCACATGGCCTTCTCCCTGTGCGTCTCTGTCCTCTCCTCTTGCAAGTACACAGTCATTGGGTTTAAGGCCCCCTACTCCAGAATGACCTCATCTTAACTGATTACATCCACAAAGACCCTGCTTACCCAAATGGTCACATTCTGAGGTTCTGGGTGGACATGAATGGGGGGGACACTATTCAACCCACTTGGGGGCAAGCTTCAAAGGCTGCAGTTGCTTGTAGCATTACGCACCCCAGCCTTCCCCTCCAATCTTGTCACACTTTCAAAATGTAGCCTGTGGGGGCTTTTCCAGTATTCCAGTGGTGTCAACGAGGAAATGGGGTGAGTTGGGGGTCCCGTTTGTAGATCCATGGCTAGTCTGTAGGATGGACGCCTGGTGTGGGAACGCTTCCCCAAGACCCCATCTCCTGCCCTCCCCCAGCTTGTGAGGAAGCCTGGGAATTGGACTGGCCTTGCCACCTCTCCCCAGGGCGAGGTCCAGCACTGCCTCTGCTCCGGCCCCGAGTGGTTGTGTTCCAGGGTCAGGCTGGCCTTGGTTGCCCCACTTGGTCTGTCTGAGGCAGACGTGCCTCTCTGATCACCATCTATGGTCTCTTGAGTGGCTGAGGGGAGCAGTATAGAGTCCTTGTTTGGTTTAGTCATCACTGGAGTCGGAGCAGCTGCTGAAACCACTGGGTTCCGGAATGTTCCATCCAGAGGAATGGCCGTTCCTCATGGCTAGGTGGCTTTGGCCCTCATGCCAGCTGTGATCGTCCATACTGTTTTGTCACCCAATCGCTGTAAATATTTTCACCTTTCCATACCACCTACATTCCAGGGTGTGTGCCCTGCTCTTCTCTCTCTTCCCTTAGTAAACATCAGCCCTTCTTCTGGCCCCATGTGCTCCGTCCTGGAGAATGGAGCCACCGGGTTAAGGATGGTGTTTACTTTCTAGGCCAGCTTCTGGAGCTCTCGAGCATGAGGTACCCAGCCAGATCCAGCTGGGCCAGTGTTGCCGACCACCCGCCTCCCCCACGTGGGCTCACTTCGTTCACGTCCAGGCTGGTGCTGGAGGTGGCTGCCCTCCCACTGGCGTGAGAGCTGGGCCCATCAAGTGCCTGCTCCATGACATTCTCTCATGCAGTCCGGTGACATAGGACTTTCATGATTCTCCTCATATAGATGGGGAAACTGAGGCCCTCAGAGCTTTATGCACCTTGTCCAGGTGGTGGAACCAGCTTTCAACTCAGGCCTGAACTCCCACCGCCTCATCCTCCCAGCTTGCCTTGACAGACAGTAATTCACAGAGTTGAACTTGGTACAAAGTTTATTTTCTGTCACTGCTTGTGAAACATCCTAAATGAACTTACTGGCGGCATTAAAAGGGGTAGAGAGGGGGGAAATGGGGCTAAAAAATGGCCTTTGCTTTTGATGGCACGGCTGGCAGCACGGGCGGAGGTGTGCCACGTTTAGGCCGCCCTGTCCACACTGTGCCCCGGAGCTGAGGTGAGGGCCTCCACAGGCGGGAGAGGCCACATTCCCTGCAGGAAGGTCTCCCTGGGCCTGCTGTGGCCTTGGTGGAAGCCCACCTCGCATCTGGCTTCTAATGAAAATGCCCTCGTTGGGAGTGGGGGCTGCTGGTGGGGCCCCTGTGGCCAGATCAGGTGGAGTCTGTGGCCCGGATCTTGGCTGGCTGAGGTTGGGCAGGGCCTGTCTTGCCTGGCACAGGGCTGGATGGCAGGAGACCCTTGCCCACCCCCAGTGCATGGCAGCCAGCCATGACCCCAGCTGAATGCTGGAATCTGTACTCAAATGCCAAGGACCCTGCTGGACCTCCTGAGCCTCTAGCGTGGGGACCCAAGATGACTTCTCTGCTCTTCCTGTGGGGCAGGCGGGGAAGGAGCTGAGACGCTGAGCAGTGGATCTTGGAAGCACACAGGGGACAGAACGGAGGTGCCACAGATCAGGGCTTCAGCCTGGTGGGAGCAGCAGGGCTGGGAACCCCAGTTAGGAAAGGCCTCTGTGAAGATGGCGGGTGGGGGGATAATGCTTTCAAAGTCACAGGGCCAGGGAGACAGGGCGCCTCCTGTGGCCCCCAGCTGTCTCTGGTTATGTACAAGGGAGGGCGCTGCGCCAGCCCACAGGGACAGATTCAGGTGTGAGAACATTCAGTATTCTATCTGTATTTAAGGGTCAGCTCCACCTTGAGTTTGGAAGGACCTTAGAACATATATGTGCCTTTGTGTGTTGGTTAAAGAAAAAAGAGAAATCAAATTTCAATCTTTACCCCTTTATCACAAAGTCCATCTGGGGTGTGTGTGTGGGTGGTGGTAATTCAGGAACACAAAATAGCAAGCATCCAGGGACCCAAAAAATCAGGCTAAATTCCCTTTCAAGACCCTTTCAACCCTGAAATTCTCTAAATATGTTTTACTTAAGTTTTATAGCTTTAAAAAAGACCTGGTATGATGGAAATAATAGATGCACATAAAAGAGAAAAAATGCAGAAATGGAAAAGGGTGAAAAGCTTTGTAGTCCCATCTCAGAACAAAACATCATCTTGATGGTGTTTCCTTCCAGGCCCTTTCAGAGGATAGGGGCTGCTTGAGTTGTCATGCTCTTTGTACCAGTTTGTACTGGCATCTTTGCTCTAAGTGCATGAAAATGTTCTGACCGAATTCTAACAGGGTTGGATCCACAGTCTGAGGGTCCCTGTGCTACAAAAGCACACGCTAATGGAAACAGGGAGAGCGAACGGACCCCCAGGGCCTAGGCATGTCGAGGAAATGTCACATCATCCTGATAACCTCCTCCTCCATTACCAGAGGCATCTACAGTTGGCCTAGAGGAGGCACCAGGGTCTCCCTGGCTGTCCCTGGCCCAGGAGGGTCCCCCAGGGCCCTGGGACTTCCTCCTGGGGGTCTGGCCTGGGTGCTCTGCCTCTCAGCCTGGAGTGTTACGTGTTGCTTCCTCCCAGTTCCGGATCCGGCAGAATCTTCAGGGGCCTGAGCCTTCTGGCCGCTGGGACCCTTGCTGGCAAGCAACTTGGGCTGAGTGGTCCCCTTCTGAAATGCCCTGAGCTGCTGGAGAAGCTGACTTTTCCCGGTACAGTCCCTGTGTCAAGAGAAGCAACCTCAATCAACACCACACAGAGGCCAGCACTTCACCACAGGACACAAACACAAAAAGCCAGAGTGCTTCCAGAGCGTGTTCCCAGCTTCTCTAGACGCTAAACAAATAAGGACTGCAGCCTCTGGGCCCTCGTCCTGTGCCGAGTCACAGGGCATATCAGCATGTTAAAGCCTCGGGGAGGAAACCTGTGTGACACTTTGCAACCCAAATCTGTCTTCTCTCTTTTTCCTATGATTCCTAATTAGGCATTAGGGGGAAAGCTGCATTAGACTCTGACATTCCCAAAGAGCAGGATCTGCAGGCTTTGCAGTTCCAAAAATGATAGACCCTGCCACAGCATATCATTCTAACTCGCTGGTGACCAGAGTGTGGGCCTCCCCATGGCAGAGACCCGAGCCTTCTCTGAACTTGACCTTTCACTTCTTCATTCACCCTGGCTAACAACTCTCACTGTGTTCCATCCCTACATTTTCCCTTCATTTCCACTGCCATCACTAGAAGGGAGCAAAATCAATCTGGGGAGCTATTTTTCAGGGATAAAGTGTACTGATCCCTTCTGGAGAGCAAGCTAAGGTGTCCTTGGTGAGGTCAGAATAGCAGGCCAGGCTGAGATGCTGCTGGGCCCCAGGTGGGCTCCCGCCGGCTAATCTCCCCACCTCCCAGACCCCCCCACACTCTCATGTGCTGGCCCTTTGGGTGCAAGACAGCTCAAAGCACAAATGTTAGAGTGCTGGTGAAAGCCTGCTGCGGAAAGCAGAGATGGGGCATCCCCAGGCCGCGGGAGCCCCCTCGTGGTTACCTCAGCCCCCAGGGGCCCTGCTGGTCTCTCAGAGCCGCTGTGTCCTCTTCCCCCTCCTCCTCGCTGTCAGAAGAGCTGGAGCTGGAGCTGGGGGCAGGAAACGAGGGTTCGCTGGACGTGCCTCAGTCCAGCCCGGCTCCCACTAGGGACTTGGAGCGTCCAGGCCTCCTTGGTGACCCAAGGCAGGAGGACCAGTAGGCCAGCCAAAGCCCAGCCAACCAAAACCAAAGGGCCACTGGGCTTCTGCCAAGTGGTGGCAGGACGGAGGTACCCGCGAGGCCATGTGCCCCGGCCTAGACTCCATTTCTTAGAAAGACTGCCCTCTGCCCCTGCTTCCTCCCTCCCTGCCGGGAGAGCCTGCTGATGGGACCCGGTGGGGTTGTTGACCAGGCTCAGTTCCTGGTTGGAAGCATTTCTCAACTGAGCGGTGCCTGTGAAGTCCCTGTTCCTCCCAAGGCCAGCACGGCATCTGCAAAGCACTGGGTTTGCTGCGGGGCTGTTACCGCTCCCAGTACCTTTCAGACGACTCCTGGTCTGATGGCTCCTTCGGCCGCAGATCGATGAAGATGGTGGGAGGCTCTGCTGGGTTCCTTAGCCGCATACCCCTGGCCAGTGTCGGGCCCAGCTCAGCCTGGAAGCCCAGCTCTGTGGAAGCACATCTGAGATGAGAAGAGCAGGGAGTGCTAAGTACTTCTTGGTGATTACTGTGTGACCTGTGCCGGGGTCACGGCTGTGTGTGTGTGCGGGGCACCAAGATAAGCCCTATAAATGCATTTGCTCTTTGACTCTTCAGAACAACCCTCAAGATTTAGGCCAGCACCATCCAACAGAACTTTCCATGATGATTAAAATGTTCCATATCTCTGCTTTCCAGTACGGTAGCCACTTGCCACAAGTAGCTATTTAAATTTACATTTAAGCTAATTAAAATTAATAAAATAAAACTAAAAATTCAGTTCTTCAGTTGCACTAGCCACATTTCAAGGGTTCAGTAGCCACATGTGGCGAGTTGCTACTGACTGCACAGAGTAGGTCTAGACATTTCTGTTGCACACTTGGGTTGCCAGGGGCAGAAGCCCAGTCCAGCTAGCTCAGATGAAAAGGGGAATTCATTAGCTCTCTGATTCCTAAAAAGAGTGGAACAAGCAAAGTGTCGGAAGAGCAGGGGTACGCCTAGCCTTTAAGGGACCCCAGGGCCCTGTCCCCACCTCTGCCTCTCAACTTCAGTCTTTCTCACCACAGCTGTTCTTTCTCTGCCCTCCACCCCAACCCAAGACAGAGAGTGGAAATTCCCCAGGGAAAGAGTCTGACTGGCCTGGCTGGGGTCAGATGCCCCGGGCTGGCCCCATCCATGGTGGCCAGAGGGCCAGGGTCCTACTCCTGGGGAGGCCATGTGGATGGTGAAAGGAGGGCTCCCATGGGGTAGAGGAAAGAGTGGGTGCTTTGAGACTTGAGTCCCAGCTCTGCTACATATAGTCTGGGCAAGTCAACCTCTCTGAGCCTCAGTTTCCCCTCTATAAAATGCACCCACCTGATCAGATTCTTGAGATGAAATGAGAAATACACACCAAGTGCCCCACCCATATATGCCTAATGAATGCTGCAAGGCTGCGGGCCAGTTCTAGCGAGGACAGGGGCGTGGCTGGCAGGAAGTCCCACCTGCTTGCAGCCTCCCGCTCGGTGTCCTGGGTTGTGTCAGCAGGCACCTTCCCGGCAGAGGCTGCAGCTCTGGACTGCGTGGCACACAGGAGGGCAAGCTGTTCCATGAGCCTGTCCTGGGCACTTGGCACAGCCTGGTCTGATGGGAGGGGGGAAGCTGCTTAGTGGGGATGCGGCCCTCATTTGACTTACAGTGGCCTGAGCCACTCGGGACCCCTTGTGGGGACGTACCTCGGGCTTGTGCATGGAGAAGTGATGGGGGTCCGCCAGAGGCCCCTGCCCGACCCCTCCTCTACTCTCCGCCCTTTATGAGGACCCCCCTCCAGCTCAGCAGGGCCAAGGGAGCAATATCTTCATGAGCAGGGAGTTATATTCGAGCCTCGTGAAGTAGCAGTGACTTCTTGCTAAAAGTGCATCCCACGCCCTCACTCCTGAGGCCCACTTGTCAGAGGGAACTATCATTAACATTCCGTGTGTTCCTTTTTTTTTTTAACAGCAAGAGGATCATCCTCTATAGATTTTTTTTCAGTGAATATTTTACGTCTTTCTGTGTGAATATATATGTAGATTCCCCTCACTGAGCTGCAGTGTTCTGTGATGACTCATTTAGCTGGACTCCTACTGAATATTGAATACGGGTCGTTTCCAGTTTTTTGCAATTATAACAACACTGCAGCAAACATCCCTGAATACACATCTTTCCCCCCCCAGGGTGTGTGTGTTTCCGAGACTCTAGAAGTGGAATAGCCTGATCAGAGGCTTATGTGCCTTTAAAATAGAGAATAGATTCTTCCACCTTGCCTTCCAAAAAGGGGGTACCAATTCCAGTCCCCCATCCCCCCATTCCTCACAGGAGGCTGAGTTTCTCCACATCCTGCTATAACCCCTCTCATATCCCCAGGGCCTAGTCCATGCTTGGCACATAGCAGGCAGTCACATATATAATGAATGAATGAATGAAGTGAATGAAGAAGTGAAGGAGTGAAGGAATGAATGAAGTCTTTCAAGGACTGGCACCTGAGTGTTCAGGACGGTGAGGGCCAAGCAGTGGAGAGGACATGGTGGCCTGCGGGGCTGACCGCGCCCAGCCCAGGCCCTATTTTAAAGAGAGGACCTGGCGGAGCTGCTTGTGGGGATGCACTTGGGCCCCAGCATTCAAGGTCAGACCTCGGCCCTGCAGGCGGTCAGCTGCCCACCACGTGGCTCCAGGTGGGCCATCTCCCCGGTCGTCTTCTCGTCCCGCCAGATTCTGAAGGATGTGATCCAGATCCCTCTCTTCGAGTTCCTGAAATAATTAAAATGGTGATTACGTGGCTGCCACAGGGTCCTGGAGGCATGAGTGCCGATTTCACAGCTGCCGTGACCAACGGAGGCTGTTGCGGGATGTCGTGGGGCAGAAATCGGGGCTGAGGTGCACGACCATGTTTGCACGTGGGCTTGCTCACCCACCCTGTGCAGGCTGCAGTATGAACTGGTTCTCTTGCCACTTCCTTCCGATGCCTTTTTTGGGCAATACTTTCATTTCTGGCACAAAGACATTGTTTGACCTGGAGGTAAACCCAGTGTCATCTTAAAACTCTTTAAGTTCAAACAGGTTTAAAACGTTGGGAAGTTAAGACGTTTTGCTCTTTTAAGAAACAGGGCCAGCCCCGTGGCGTAGCGGTTAAGTGCGCACGCTCGGCTACCAGCTGCCAGGGTTCAGATCCCGGGCGCACACGGACGCACCGCTTCTCCGGCCATGCTGAGGCCGCGTCCCACATACAGCAACTAGAAGGATGTGCAGCTATGACATACAACTATCTACTGGGGCTTTGGGGGAAAAATAAATAAATAAAATTATTAAGAAACAGATTGTTCTAGGGAGGTACTAACACTGGAGGACTTGGAAGAGAGTGCTGTGGGGGTCGAGTAGGGTGATGAGGGAGGACATAATCAGGAATTCATGGTTCTTACGTGTGACCTTGCCACTCCCGGCAGCCCCAGAGGTGAGTGAAAATAAGGGTGTTTAGGGGCGAGCAGAAAGGAAAGAATGGGGCTGATAACAACAGAATTGGTGAAAATGACCTCCATGTACACCTGAGGCCAGTTTTCTCTAAGTTGTTAAGAAAGTTATCCAACATTTGTAAATCGGAGAAAAAAGAGAATCGCCTGACCTTTCAGCATTACACCGGAGCATTTTCTAACAAGCCCACCTTTCTAAGGGAAGGTGACTTGGTCTGCACGGTAGACCAGGGCCCACCCGTTTTACAACTTTGTGAAACTGAGAGGTGCGATGGTTTTCTTTTCGGTCTGGTAGAGAAGATAACCCCAAAGATAACAGTTCTGTTGCCCTGAAGGATGTTGACCGATTTTCTACTTAATATAGGAATTTTATCTCAGCGTCTATTTCTTTTTCCTCAGTGTCTTACAAAATCCTGGTTTCTCATACTCTCTTTGGCTTTGGCATCCTGCGGGTTCCTCTTGAATAGCTAAACACAACGTTAACCTGTGCTCATTATTTGTATGAGAACGCGGGCTTTCACGTTTTGAGAATTGTGCTTTGACAGAGTCTGTTCCCTGTCTTATATGTGGTTGTATGTCTTCATAAACATAATTGGGATTAGTATTTTTTTTTTTTTTTAAAAGAGGCTGGCGTCTCCTTGCTCTTCCTCCTAGTTAACTCTACCTGAAGATGGTTCGTTTGCCAGGATGACACACCCTCTGAGAAACGGCTGCCTGCCTGCCGGTGGACCTGGGACCAGGGTGTAAGGTCGCTGCTATGGACTGAAAGTCTGTGTCCCTCCAAAGTGCACATGTCGAAATCCTAACCCTCCGTGTGATGGTGTTTGGAGGTGGGGCCTTTGGGAGGTGATTAGGTCATGAGAGGGGAGCCTTCATGAATGGAACTAGTGCCATTATAAAAAAGGGGGCCTCAAAGAGCCCCTGAACCCCTTTAACAGTGAGGACACAGCGAGAGGATGGCAGGCCCTCACCAGACACTGAATTTGCTGGCACCTTGCTCTTGGCCCTCCAGAACTGTGAGAAATGACTTTCTGTTGTTTCAGCTCCCAAGTCTGTGGGATTTTGTTATAGCAGCCCAAATAGATGAAGACAGGTGGAGGGGGCCGGCCTCAGGTTGGCCTGTGCAGGACCAGCTGGGGGCCGCCGTGCAGGGCCCGTCCAGAGGAAGCACAGGGCAGGGGAGACGCTACCTGGAGGGAGAGCAGTGGCGGTCCTTCCAGGGGCTGCTCTGGTGGCGTTTCTGGTCTCGGACCTGACGCTGCTGCTCCACAGGGCGTCACCTTCACTTGACTTTGGTCACTGCAGGCTGGGCCCCGGGCATCCCAGGTGACTTTATGGAGAATGTCTCTTTCGATCATCTTCCTTCTCTCCCTGCGGAGGGCTCTGCGGTCTGCGGAGTCTGAGCCCTCACGGGCTCGGGAGGCAGTGCTTGGGAGCTGGGTCTTCAGGTCTCCTTCCTGGGGGGAGAGGGTGGCTTCTCCCTGCAGCCCCCAGGCAGGACTCTGGGATCCCTTGGTGTTGAAGGACATGCCCCCAAGTTCGCCTTCCTGCCACCTGGGGGTCTCCTCGGACATCCTAAGAAGAGAGCTGCTCTTACCAGGGCTCTCCAAAGACGGACCAGGGCCCCTTCCTTCCAGAGAGGCTGAATCCTTTGTCCTTGCATCCCATTCCCTCCAGGGTTCAGCAGCAAATTCCACAGGCACAACTGGCTATTGAGAAAATAGGCGTCCTGGTGAACAGCCTCAAAAACATACTTCAGGGAATTTTTTTTAGTAAAAATATTTTTACTAAAAATTTTTACTACAAAAATTTTTTTTGTAGTAAAATATGTATATAACATAAAATTTGCCATTTTAACCATTTTTAAATGTACAGTTCAGTGGCATTAAGTCCATTCACAATGTTGTGCAACCATCACCACCATTTCCAAAGCTCTGGCATCTCCCCAAAGAAACTCTGTACCTCCCCTCCCTCCCACCCCCAGTACCTTCTAGTCTACTTTCTGTCTCTATGAATTTGCTTATTCTAGATATTTCATATAAGTGGAATCATACAATATTTGTCCTTTTGTGCCTTGTCACTTAGCTTAGTGTTTTCAAGGTTCATCTACTTCGTAGCATGTGTCAGTACTTCATTCCTTTTTATGGATTGAAGAATACTCTGTTGTATGGCTAGACCACATTTTGTTTGTTGATGGACACATGGCTTGTTTCCACCTTTTGGCCGCTGTGAATAGGTCACACAGCTATTAGGGGGTGAACAAGATGAATCCCAGGCCCTTTGACTCCAGAGCAAGCCCACAGCCTCCACCTCCATGAGTTGGTATAGACTTTCCCATCCTAGATTAAGAAAAAAATCATCCAGAAGAGTTGCCAAGGTAATTGTAGAATTGAAGAAAATTAAAATAAAGTCCCGTGGATATCATTCCACTTGAACTAACCAGGGGTCTTGTCAGCGCTGGGAATTTCTCCTATTTGGGGTTCCTTCAGACATACTTCTAGGCCTCGCTGAGTGAGTGGGTGATTTCTGCCATGGTGATGGGTGGGGGATGTGCCCTGGCTCTGTAAGAAGACCCTGTGTCTGTGCTCACACTGAGGACTGCAGAAGTCTCAGCACACCACCACCCCGTCCAAACCTGCATCGAGAGACCTGAACAAACTCGGGTATGGCTTCTGGGAGCATAAGGCTCGGGTGAGCCCAGCCCCCCATTAGATGGTGGCCTGAGAAAGGAAGCTCAACGCTGCTGCCAGGAGAATTTACTGTTTGTTCTGCCAACACCTGGTGAGAGGCCCCTGACCTCCCTTTCTTCCAGCATTTACTAAAAAGGGCTCATAATTTTGAATATGTGTTTCTACAATGCAGAAGCATCTGTCACAGAGCTGAGAGCTATTCCTTTGAAATGCACTCGTTGGGAAGGACAGGGCTTCTGTGTCCCTTCTCCTGGGAGGATAGCCTCCCGATGTCCCTAACTGCCACCAGCAGACACACCTGGCCTCATCTCATCTACACTGATCAGCTCCTTGTGATGTTTCTCTCCTTGACGACTGAGCCCCGCTCTCCCCAGCCCTCATTCTCCCTTTAAAACGCCCACTCACCTCTGCACAAATCAGAGCTCAGCTCTGTCCCTGCTGTCAGTGTTACCGAGTAAAAGCTGCTTCCCCAGCTTTAACTAATGTCGGGCTGTTTGTCTTAGACAGCACACTCCACCCCCTGGTTAATGAGAGCTAGCCATAATGCTGGATGGAGCTGAGCTGCGGGAAGTGCACGGAGGGAGCCAGGCCTGGCTCCTGGAGCCTTTGCACACTGAGAAGAACTGAACAGGCCTGACGGCTGGGGACATGCCCAGCGATGGAAGCCCACTGATGGGTTCTGTTTATAAAGGCAGCAATTAATTTTAGCATCAAGCCATGAATTTTTGATAGAGCTCTTGGTCTTACCTGGGACCCTGGGAAATGGGGAGACAAGAAGATGAAAATTTCACTCTGACATTTGGCGATGACTGCAACTACAGTACAGTCGTGTGTCGCTTAACGACGGGGATACGTTCTGAGAAGTGCATTGTTGGTCGATTTCGTCGTCGTGTGACCATTATACGGTGTACTTAAACCTACCACACACCTAGGCTATACGGTACTGATCTTCTGGGACCACCGTGGTATGTGCAGTCTGTCGCTGACCTAAGCGTCATTAAGCAGCACACAACTGTACCTAATTACAGAGTGTGCTCTGGCATTTTCTAATTGTTTCCTGTCTTCATCTCATCTCCCCAGCCAGGGGCACCTTCTTACCTCTGAATCCCTACTGTCATCCTTACTAAATCAATGAACATTTAGGGAGCGCAAGATTTTGTGAGAAGCCAGGTAGTGCTGAACCAGCTGGGTTAAGGGAGAGGCATTTATGACAAGTTGTGACAATATTCAGACAGTTCAGGGTGCCACGGTAGGGAATAGGCCAGCAGAGGGTGTGTGAGTGTGTGTGTGTGCACACGACCGTGTGGGTGGGGGTGAAGAGGAAGAGCAGAGGCAAAATCAGACAGAAAATAAGTACCCCCCACCCCCTCTCCCAGCCCCGAAGTGAGCTGGGCCCTGGGAGAGTGGTGTGCATGAGATGGGGAGATGTCTGCTGTCTGAACACCTTGGGTTGCACCTGGAGACAGGCTTGGGTGTGCAGAGATGCCAGACCAGGGGTTTTAACCTCTGTGACCCACATTGCTGCTAGAGTCCGGTGAGAGCCATGGACACCCACCCCCACACCCCATGCTGCCCACAGGGCCCTGGCTTCATGGATGCCCAGAGCCTGCGTCCCACAGACCTCAGGAGGGAACCCGTCAGCTGTAGTGACCCAGGCCCCGGCAGGGTCTTCCGCCAGGTCCTCCTCCAAGTCTGGAATCAGGGCAGCTTGATTTCGCTGGAAGATGAACAGCTTCTCTTCCCCGCAGTCCGACTGTGGACAAACAAGACGGCTTCGGGATGACACCGCAGAGCAGAGCCAGGAAGGCCTCCCTGCTACCCTCACCCTGCCCCGCCCTGCCTCACCCTGCTGCTCAGGAGCCACCAGGGTTGGGGAGATTAGTTCTCCCCTAGAGGGCCTTGCCCTGCGGCTGGATCCTGCCGCTGATCTAGAAATGGGCTCAGCAGCACCACCTGGTGGAGGTGAGATCCAGGGCTCCGGGTTCTGCATGTCCCTGCCACCCACAGCAGGTGCTCAGTTAATGCCTGCTGCTGAATGCACAGGACAGCCAGGGGGTAGCTGAAAGAGCAGAGTCCAGCCCTCCCCCTCCCCCATGACCTTGAGCTACCACTTAATGACAGGAGCCTTGGTTTGTCACCTCTAAGTCAGGGTGCGGGGCACTTATAGTTGCCAGCCCACCTCACAGGGATAGTCTGAAGATAAGAGCAAATGAGACTGAAGATGTGAAAAGGCACTGTGAGTGCGCTATCTACTCCCCATTAGCCTCGCCTGCACTGGAAGATCCCTGAGGTCCAGGAAGCTCTGTCGTGTTCATCTTTGTGGGTGCCCCAGGTAGGACCCACACCTGGCACGTTACTTCTAAACCCTTGCCCTTTCTCTAAACGCTCTGCTCCAACCTGTGTGTTTGGCACCCATGCTGAGGAGCTCCTGCTGGTGCAACACCCACCTTGCATTGTCAGCAGGGTCGCTGTTGCGTCTTACATGTGTGGACAGGCCTAATTTCCACTACGTGGAGAAGCTGGTGCAGCTCATTTAAGCCTGAATTCAGAGTCACTTTGGTCACCCAACATTCTCTTAGTTGGTAGAAACTAGAAACACAACCACCATCATGGTGAGGCAGGGTCTGCCACAGTGTATAATGTTACAAAGGGCTCCTGGTCCTTGAAGAGGCTGAGTAGGCTCCATGAATGTTTGCTGAATGAATGCATGTGACCAATAACAAAATTACTATGTATTGTACATTTCCCATGTGCCAAGCACTGTGGCTTATGTAGATTATTTAATCCTTACGACAACTTACAATCAGAGCTGGGATTTGATCCATGGAGCCTCTTATATGATGTCCCTCTCTGTTTATTATTATCGTCCTCCACAGAGCAACCTGGGGGTTTTGCCAGGACATGACAAAGGCCAGGACGTGGATGATTTTGTTAACTCTGACCATTAATTGAGCATGCACTCTGGGCCAGCCACTTCACATGCAGAATCCAAAATTTGTACCAGTGATAACTATCTGTATTCTGCAGTGAGGAAACTGAGGCTGACCCAGGTGTGGCAACCACCCCCAAGTCACATGGTAAGTCAGTAACCGAGTGAGGATGGGGACCCAGGTCTGCTTGATGCTGAAGCCCCTGCTCTCTCTGCTCTGCTGCAGTGCTGTTCTCCACTCTCTGTTGGGCCAGGACGTGGCCAGGACCACCACTGAGAGGGGCTACCATTTCAGCGCATCATGGTAAGCCCTTGGAGGAGTTCTCCAGTTGTGGTTTGGGGTCACCTGGAAGGATGCTGAGCACCAAGAAATGTATTCAGAGAACAAAAACAGAGATGGTGACAGACGCAGAAGCTGATAAGCTGTGGCGCTGTCTTTGGGTCAGCATCACGTCTGCCACGGGAAGGAAGGGCGGTCGTGGCCCAGGAAGATGTGCGAAGAAGGCGCCTGCTTACCAAGGAGGAATCCGAGTCAAAGGACGGCAGCTGCTCCTTGACAACCTCAAGGACGGCAGCCCAGGGAGAGGGCAGTGAGGGCCCCATATCTTTGTCATGGGATGCCATGGAGGCCGGGGCTCAGGGCATGCTTCTCAGTGTGCCATCATCCAAGGAGCCCTGTGGAGGACACAGGGTGAGGTGAGAGGGTCCAGGGGCCAAGGGTCCAGAGCTCCGGGGCATCTACCATCCCGTGGGGGATGCAAACTGACTCACAGACCTCCCACCCCGTTTTCCTTCTGGTTCTGCAGGTTCCTGTTACTGAGTGCCAGGCACTGTGCATGCACTGTGTGTGTGTGTAGTGCAGTGTGGAGCCTGCAGATGTATGTATATGATGTATATAATGATAGTATATGATAATATATAGATACATGCATTGATATATAATGATATATGTACAAAGGTATATGTATATAATATATAGAATGATACATGCATATGATATATAGATATATGTAAACTATATATATCTCCCATATAACATAGATACTATTATCTACATTTATAGGCTCAGAGAAGTTATGTTGTTAGTAAATGGCAGACAGAATTTGTATCAAATTTAGAGGGGATTTC